AACCTTCATATGCTGTGAAAAACAAGTTATAAAGTTGTAAAGTTGTTCAATTTGTTGCACAGAGTGATTGTTTGAGAGCCACGTTGAAAGAATGATTTGCATGTGTGTGTGTTTTTGTGAAAGTGAAGCCTGTGCGCGCACATTTAAATGATCATAACGCATTTTACAGTTATAATAACGACAAGCATTTGATATGGTTTTTTTTCTTTCATAGCTAACACAGTGTTGTGCATAAAAATAAATGTTTTACAGTGTACGGCTGCTCGATTTTGGGAAAAATCATAATCACGATTATTTTGGTCATAATTGTAATCACGATTATTCAAAACGATTATCAGTTGAAGTCAAAATTATTAGCGCTCCTAAGAATTTTTTTTTTATAAATATTTCCCAAATGATGTTTAACAGAGCAAGGAATTTTAACAGTATTTCCTCTAATATTTTTCTTCTGGAGAAAGGGATATTTGTTGTTTTATTTTGGCTAGAATAAAAGCAGGTTTAAGGTCTATAATATTAGCCCCTTTGCGCTATATATTTTTTGATTGTCTGCAGAAGAAACTACTGTTATACAATGAACTGCGTAATTACACTAAGTAAGCCTTTGAATCACACTTTGAATCTGAATGCTTGTATTTTGAAAAATATCTAGTCAAATATTATGTGCTGTCATCATAGCAAAGATAAAATAAATCAGTTATTAGAAATGAGTAAATAAAACTTATGTTCAGAAATCTTCTTTCCATTAAACAGAAATTGGGGAGGAAAAGGGTTGCTAATATTCAGGAGGGCTAATAGTTCTGACTTCAAGTGCACATATACAGTTATTTTCCTACCTGCAAAGGAAAAATAAATAAAAACAATAAAATAAAAATATGGAACAAACAAATACAGAATGTGACTCTTTCAACATCATTTGGAGGTGTCCATGTCACTGAGCAAAATATGTGAAACAATGAAAAGACTCGTGCAGCCGCCTTTGCTTCTCTCTTGAACTTGAAAATATGATTGACAGAATCATAGAAATGCTGGATTAAGATCGTCTAGGGGGTCGAATCGAGATCGCGATCTTTTAACGATTAATTGTGCAGCTCTACTTCACACCATGTTAATAGCCATTCATTCAGAGCAAAAAGTCTACTGAACCTTTCATGTCCACAGCAGCAAGTAGAAAGCTGTCCAGAAATGATGGTCTGCATTGCAAGTGAAGTGCGTCTGACTGTTTTAATCAGGCTCCTAAAGTCCCTCTGCTACCTGGATTTGATGCAGCAAACTTTACATTTCTAGTCCATATCTGTCACAATGATTTACACCTAATATGGATACATCTGAAATAAGCAAATGAGAAAATAAGTTAGTATTTTTTTATTATCATTATTTGTTATTAGTTTAGTGTTACCCAGCTGGATAATACATTTTAAATAGTATTGTTTGTTAAATTAATTATGATTTCTTACATTTGTTTCCAATTCAGTTAGTTACTTTAAAAATGCTTACATTTGAGGTGACTCAAACGGCTGTTTGAGACAGAATTCTGAACAATGTCAGGGTTTATGTGGATGTTCTGAGAAGGAAAAAAGCAGGCTTTATGTACGTTTTTGTGAGAATTAATAAAAATGTATTGAAGTACATTACTTGAACACAATTTATCACACAGGTAACTGTTTAAGAAACGCAATTAATAACAAATGTGTAATATTACTCGAGTAATATGAGGAAAGAATATTAGATAGCATTGCGTGTAAAAGAATCATATAAGCAGGGCTTAATTTGTGTTATTCTAAACAAAAGTTTTCTATACACTTTGCCATTGTTGGATTAATAGGCATATATGCAGTTTGCATAGATTACGCAGCCACGCCCCCCTAGGGTCACAGATTTTGATGGTCATGGTATAACACCTGAACAAGCCGGATCCGGAAGCTCTGAAATCTGATCCGGCACCTCATTTTACCAATCCTCCTATTTACCCGGCCTCCTCCCCCGTCTGCTATTCACTTTCACTTTGTTTCACGACTTCCCAACCCTCTTCACTTTCGTCCGTGACAACCAACCTCCGCTATCCAACGGCCAGCTTTCCCCCCAGTCTTCCTCCTCGGGTAGTATGCCATTATCCCGATCTGTTCCAGGGCCTTTGCGATTCACAAATCAAAGGCAAGACAAAAAAACTAAATAAATTAATATATTTGTGGAAAAAAAAAGTCTAATAAGCAGTATGAATGTATAACGTTATTTGTTTAATTTAACAGTTGCTTGAAATGGCTTTCAGGGAAGCTTTGCTTTCAGTGACGATGAAATATTTCGACACATCAATATTTTACATAAAATTATTTATATTTGTGTGAGGTAGACGTGCAATTTGAGTGATTATGTATATCCAGCCTATTGTTATTATCGTAAAATAATACCCCTCTTATAAAACAGCAATCTCTTCGCAAGATGTTCCTAGAACAGGTTACATGACATAATAATGCGTGTAAGTGTAAATATTTGTGAGCAAATCATATCTAATTTGTATATTTATTTTGCCAATTTACTCACCTTCCATGTGTTAGAGATGACAGTCGTCATGACATGGAGGAAAGGAGCCGTTACTAAGCGCTATTTGAAAATGCTCCTGTGGCCTGCACCTGCACGATGACTGGAGAGATCCAAGTGCGCGCGTCATGTTTATATTATTTTATTTGTCCCGGTTATTTTTTTTTTTTTGACAAAACAATTCCATTCCATTAATTCAAGAAACAGATGAAGAAACATTTTATTCAGTTAAAAAATTTACAAAATGCTGCATTCATTAGCAAGTTATCCTTGTTGGTTTATGAAAACAAACTGGAGAAATACTTTTTATTAATAAACCAGAGCCCATAGCCTATATATTTAAGTTTAGTAATATCTTAAATTTTTTTAATGAGTGGATTATTGAAGGACTGTCTAATATAGTTCTATTTTTATAAAAAAAAAAAAAAAAAAATAATATATATATATATATATATATATATATATATAATAGCTTACTATTATTGTTGTTGATGTTGTTGCAGAAGTTGTTGTTATTACTATTGTTTTAATTGTCAAAAGTAAAGGGTCTATTAAAGGGCCCAACGCAGCATGGATGTTTAGACTCACACTGATACAAGAAGTCATGGCCTTTTAATGACAGCAGTAAATAACTGAACAACTATTTGAACTGTACAACCGTTTGTAAATTATAAATTAACATTTATTTTACATCTTTTTTTATTCACAAGCCGTGCAGCTTTCGTCACTGCAATGTATTCTTATGGGCTTCTGGAAGAACATTTCCTGAGCCTCTTGGTATGGAAAGTCAGAAATGTCTGGCCCATTTATTGAGACATTTATTAAACATGTCTCTTATAAAAAAATTAAATATGAACATGTCATGGCCAGAAGCAGCTTTACAGAAAATAATTCATCCATTCATTTTACTTCAGCGTAGTGCCTTCTTTATCAGGGGTCACCAAAGCAGAATAAACCACCACAGAAAAATTACAAACAATGCAGTTTGGAAACATTGCAAATGATGAAAGATAAAAATGAGTTAAAATGCACATCTATAAATATAAATACGTGCTTACTAAAAGAAAATAGGCCTATAAATTACTTCTTAAAGCAATGCATGTATTACAAGAAGTTATATTATTATATATTTTTGTTAAAAAAGTTATCTAATAATTCCAGCCAGCTTTTTAGTGAATTTGTAATATTGTCAAAAACACAGAACTTTCAGGTGTCGTATGTAAAAACAGAAAAAAAAAAAAAAAAAAAAAAAAAAAGGCCTAAACACATGCTGAACCATTCAACTATTTTGCTCGTCTCCAACTATTGACAGCAGATCTCTTCAAAGAGAGAGACAAAGGGATTTGCACTCGCGATATTTTTACTGCTCTATTCATTTAACCTATCAAATGTAATAATTTAGATCATCACTGTGCCTCTCGCGATCTGTTCACGTGCTCATTCACTCTCGTTGCATGATTTCGGTATTTTTAATTTATTTTGGGGGATCATGGAGCCGGTATGAATTTGCAGAAGACACACAGAGCTTCCGGGAGAGTATCTGAAGAGCGGGGAGGGATGCGGGACGTATTTGAAGACCGGACGGGAGACGCGCGATTTCGGAAGATAATAATTCGTTTGCGGGTATCTTTTGAGAGACTTGGGATGTCTGCATCTGTATATATTTTAGCTGTAATGACGCAAGCGCGGAACAGAAATGACATGCTGTTGTGTAAATAAGATGTTACATATAACTATTTAGCTTGTTTATTTAAAAAAAGTTGTGATCTGGCGCTGTATAGATAATGCAATTAATGTGATTTCATGGGGGGCGGGTACAGTCATTGGGAGGGCGGGCGCGCCCCTTTATAAAATGGTAGGAGAAACACTGTATCAAAATAAAATACTGTATTTAGTCCATCAATAGGCCTATTTGATTAATACACTCACCGTTAAACTGACTTGGTAAACAATGTTTGATAGCAACAACTTTTCTCTGCCACTTCATTTACAGGGGGAAGTTGGTACATTCTTGCAAGCTGGTAGCAGCTCTTTAATGGTCACTCTCTCCAAACAAGTGGACATGTTCCATTCGGTTTTAAATTGATGAAACGTCATGTAGTTAAATAATTCTACTCTTTTGCCTATATTTATCATTGTGAAGCAGCTAAGGCAATTTATATTATCTTTATTATTTAGGGGCATCAATCATGAAGGTCTGTTGTCCTGCATAGTTTAGCTCAAACAACAATCAAACACACCTGAACAAGCTAATCAAACTTACTAGGTATACTTGAAGCTTTCAGACAGGAGTGTTGAGACAGGTTGAACTCTGCAGGACAGAGTTTGTGACCCCTGGTATAAACGCTATAGCAATCCAGATTACTTGGCTTGACAATCACACTATTGCTGTTTCTGTACATTGCATAAGTTAAACATGTTCATTAACATTACCAGTAGTGAACTGATTTCTGTTTGTTTTGCAGGTGTGTTTAGTGCTGATGAAGATAAAGTGAAGTCAGTGATGGAGGGAGAGTCTGTCACTTTAAATCCTGACCTCACTCAAATGCACGGAATAATTCAGAAAAAGTGGATTTTTCAAAAAAAGGGATCCACCACTACTGAAAATATTCAATATGTGGAGATACTGAAAAACAGACTGAAGAGGAATGATCAGACTGAATCTCTGACTATCAACAACATGAGATCCAAACACTCAGGAATTTACATACTTCGGATTGACCTCAATACTGGGCCCAAAGATATAAGATTTACTGTTAATGTCGAAGGTGAGGAATTATGCATTCCTTAGAAAATATCAGAATGACAAAATTAATAGAATATTAACCTAAAATTCAGTTAATGTTAGTTATATTCAGTCTCGCAGTTTTTTATTTTCACAATATCACATATTTTTTGACAATAGTTGCTTGGTTTCATCATCAGTGGTGGTCACGTGATTGATATTGTATCTAAAACAACAGCGTGACTGAGACTGATACTGCTTTTACAAAGCAGTCCTAAAAAGAAGTGTATATTATTTTGACACATTTCTCTTTCTCTTAATTCAATATTTGCTTTATTGGCATGACAAATATTGCAAATGTATTGCCAAAGCGTTTATAAATTTTCCAATAAAGATAAAATAACTTGCATGTTTAATAAAAAACACAGTAAATAGTAGTAGTAGTAGTGGTGTAAAAAAATCACATTAATTATTATTCAATATATATTATTATTATTATTTAATTTATCATACATTATTCAATGCATCACATTAATATTCAATGTATCATATTATTTATAAATATCAATAAAAATAAGTATAGATCAGAATAAACATATAATACATATAGTACATATAATACATTTTTTAGAATAAAACCGTAATTAAAACTATAATAATCAGTATATTTACAATGAATGATTTATAATAATCTAGGTGTGTGTGCGTGTCCGTGTGTGTGTGCGCACGTGTGTGTGCGCGTGTGTTTGCAGGTGCAGCACTGATGTTTTTATCGGTCTGCTCTCTCTTTTTGTGACAACAGGCATTAATGTATTGGGCCGCTAGAAGGACATAATCAGTTTTTTCCCCTAGTAAACACTGCAGTTGTGTTTTATTGTCTAACTCGGTGAATTGTTTGTAAATATTCTGTAGTTTGGGGTAGAATGTTTCTCTGATGTGCTGATAGTTTGTGCAGTGGGTAAGGAAATGTCCCTCCGTCTCTACCTCTGCCTGGGCGGTGCGGACAGTCACTCACTCACTCACTCACTCACTCACTCACTCACTCGCACACACAATGAGCAGTTATTTTGTTCAATTTCAATTTACCAATTACAATACTTTCAAACAAACCAATAAATAATTCATAGTATTGTAGTTCGAAGAAGTGCAATTAGTCATTTGCATCTGCAGTAGTACAGTGAAAAGTGTTAAATGTACCATACATGTACAAATAACAAACCACACAAAATCACTAATCTCTTAATCTATTTTAAAGCTAATTTTGATTAAGGTGTATTTGCAGATGTCACACAAGACGGACTCATGCGTCTTAATCCTGAAGAACCGACTCAAGAATGTATATATTCTCTAATGTTCCTCTTTCTGTCAAGCTATTTGTATTATACTGTCCTCCTTTAATCTACAGTATCTAGTAAACAGTTTTATAAACTGAACCCAATCAAAGTAATATTTATTATAATTTAGTCTGACATGGCATTAAATATTAATGTACATACTTGCACACATATATAAACATAATAAATATGGCGAAGTGATTGTATATATTGTTGTACATGTAAAAATGTTACCTTTTTATTAATATGCATGTATCTTATGCCATTAACACAAGCAGAACAAAAGAACAGTAACGCATCATAGTGTAGTGCAGTTCATATACCAGGACTATTCAGTATGTTTAACCTCTGTGAATGTTTCTCTTTTCAGAGGTTCCATCTGCTAGTGATATTTATAATATTGAAATGAAGAATGTATCAGTGACGAAGGGAAAACCAGTCATTCTTCAGACTGATATTACTAAACTACAAGGAGATGAGCTGATAGTGTGGAGGTTTGGAGATGAGGGAAAACTCCTGGCTAAAGAAGATAAAGAGGCCAAGAGTTCACCGTATTATAATACGGATGAGAGATTCAGAGACAGACTGCAGCTGAATGACCAGACTGGATCTCTGATCATCAGCCACACGAAAGACACAGATGCTGGACTTTATACAGTGAAGATCAACAGCAACAAACAAATGACATACAAGATAATCACTGTTGCTGTCACTGGTGAGTAATTCAAGGGTTTTAAAGCCTTGATTGTTTATCAGCCATCTGTGAATAACAGATGATGTGTTGTTCAAATCTTACATCATGAAGAATCAGACCTAACAATATTTAGTGATCAGAGATGCCATACTGTACCTTTCATAGCATAGTCATTTACTCTGTTACAGTAGCAGAAGTTTTAAGCATCTTTACACATTATTGCAGTACAGAAACCAAACCTGAAGCTGCATAAATGTTCAAGAATATTTAATGACACAAACTGTTACACAAACCTTTTAATGAGGCATTACACTGAATTCAGAGCAGACACAGACCTGCTTTAGGGCCGCCTGTGTAAGGATGATCTTCTATAGTGCTGATGTTTATAATGTTTGTAGAGCAGACTGTCCATAATGATTGTCTTTATCATTACAGTATCAGATCTTACTCCAGTTGTAAATGGTACTGATGTTTAAAGTCTTTGTTATAGATCAGACTGTTTATAATGACTGTCTTTATCAGTTCCAGCTTCAGGTGGGTCTCCGGGTGGAATAATAGTGATTGTTCTGCTGGGAATTGCTTTAGCTGCTGCTGTTGTTGTTGCTGTTTGCTATTGCTGCAAGATCTCCAAATCAAGAAAACCAATAGGTAAGTGTTGCAGCTGACAAAGGAACAGAAAAAGCTTTACTCTGTAATAGTAAGGTGTAAATGTATTCATTTATTTATTTATATTTTTTCACAAATATCACAAATTTTATAACAGGTAATTATGAGCTGCAGTATTGCAAACAGGGATGGTGTGACAGTTACAGGAATATTTTAAAGAAATAACCACTTAAAGAAATCAATAATTTGTGTAATCCAGGATGCTTTGAATTGATCTTGAAACTTTTTTTTTTATTTCAGACAAATGTTATTTTGAACTTTCTCCAATTCAAAATGTTTTAAAACAAAACCAAACAAATTTTGCACACAACCATTTATAATGTTTATTGGTGATCAATAAACCATTGATGATCAAACCATTTTGCTATATTTTGGGACAGTTTCGATGAGCAGATTTCTTATAACATCATACCCTTTATAAACTTTTCAACAATAATATACTTTCAATAATATAATAATGTACTTTTCAGGAATGCTACACGTTTTTCAATGTGTAATGGTCATGATCATCTGTCATTACACTGAAATTAGCTGTGTGAAGGCTCTAAAATGATGCCTGCAGGTTTAGAAAGAGGGAAAACAAATAATTTCTGATTTTATTTAGGGTTTTGCTGAATATTAGGGATAGATGAAAGGGATAGTTCACCCAAAAATAAAAAAAGTGCTAATTACTTTTTTCCAGTTTCCAAATAGAGTTTCTGTTGAACAATTAAAAAGGTGATATTTTGAAGAAAGCTCAAAATCTGTAACTATTGACTTTCATAGTTGGATAAACAAATACTGTGGAAGTCAGTAGTTACAGGTTTCCAACATTCTTCAAAATATCTTCTTTTGTGTTCAACATAACAAAGAATGGTTTGGAACAATAAATGATGATTGAATTTTCATTTTAGGTGAACTGCCCCAAAAAGTGCACCTATTTTGGCTTAAAAAAGGTCATATTTTGGATTGGGTTAGCCCCTAACAACAGGCTGATATGCATACAAGGGCAAAAATCACTTTGTCTTATACAATATATTTATTTTTACCTTATTGTCCCAATTACTCCCATATGATTTGTTCAGTGATTTCATTTTTTCAAACCCCACTTTTTGTGATGTTAGTCTGCAGTGACTGGTTTGTTAACCCAGTCTGTTTTGATTGGATGACTGCATGCAGCGTGTATGGGAAACGGAATGCCCATCTGTTTTAATATGCCCCAAATTTTAGTATGTAAAATGTTTCAGCATACCAAAAAGGTTTTAGTATGGTATGTGTTTATGCAAGTGAGACAAGTGTGGTGCTAATCGACAAGAGAAGGCACCAATAATGGTCCATACACCATACTAATCAAGCTATACAACTGTTTATTGCTGGTACACACAGCTGATATCAATTATCCCAATAATATTCAATAATCATGAATCATACTCATGAACATCATTAATCAAAGTACAACAAAATTGCATAAAAGGCTTATAATGCGAAATAAAGATGAGGTTACATGAATAAAAGACATATAATGAAAACTTCAAGCAATTTGATACAAGTATATACAACCTCAGAGACGTGCCATCATTTTCCTCTTCAAAGACTGGGGAGCCCGTTGCAGTCACATTGGAAAACCAACACGTGTGTCCGAGAATGCCGGGCGATGCGCGCCTTTCCCACGGCTGAGCTTCCAATGTTCCAGCAAGAAACCCTCACCTTTATAGTCAAAATTTGGGTGCTGGCCAAAGGTCGGCCTAATAGGTAAGAGAGAAGTGTGAGTTGATTAGGCCCACCACCTCTCTCAGCTAGTTGCACATTATTTCTGATTGCAAAGCACTAATTTGAGGTTTGTAGTGTCAGCATGATTATCTAGAGTCAATATTCTACCTCCTGAAATTTGGAGAAAGTTAACCTTAAGGTCCGGAGAGCCTTCTCTGGTTATTTGGTCATGCCTAAGTGTCAATATTTTACCACATGAAATTTGGAGAAAGGTGTGAAGTTAACCTTAAGGTCATGAGACCCTTCTCTGTTCATTTGGTTGTTTGTTGAGCGCAACAGAAGAAAAACAAAAAATATCTCATTTGTTACACCATCTAATGTTAAAACACAAGCAGCCAGGGTATAGAGTATATGGGTAATCCTAATGCTGTAATTTATTGACAAAGCAGTGCAGTTTGTTTCAAACTGTAGCTTGCGCTCAAGTTTTCCTGTGGTTCATTCTGCTGAGTGAGAGATTTAGTTGTCATGTTCAAGCCGGTGTACCTACAGTACATGGAAGGTAATTTTATGTTTATCTTTTGTTATAGATAAAGCAGTAGCATCTAAAATGTCACAGGTGTGCCACATCACTGAAAATGTTAAAACAACTGAATATTAACCTCTGAAAGCTGTGCTGTTGTATGTTGATTCGCATTAATAATGATTTTAATTTAGTTAAGACATAAACAGATGTATGCAGTTTTTGGGAATCATTAATGAAGTCATGCAGATAGACTTATAGAGCTTAATATAAGCTCATGAAGAATCACAGTTTCCTTTCAGGGTTTCTGATGTTCATCTGTTCATTTACTGATAATCTTCTCTTTTCTCTGTTTCTATGTGCTGCTGTGACCTAAAGATAATATTTCCGATCAAATAAAGGAACTGCGTAAGTATTACAGCTGTACCAAAATAACAAAACAAGTGTGCTACAGTAGTTTTATGGTCATTATTTATAATCAATAATATTGATTTAGTGTGGTTTACTAGATAGCTTACTGTATTTTGCATGTAAGTTTTCAATCAAGCTTATTTGTAACAAGTATGCCATATAAGGCAATATACTGTAAGCATTATTAAATTCTATTTGAGCGGAGGCATAACTTGGAAGTGTTTCTTGGACTTCAGAAAATAACATTTGTCGTTGGTGTTACATTAGTGAACTAACTCTACTCCTCAGAAATGCTCTAATAACAGCAATAGAAGAAAGGATAAACACAGGCAGGGGATATTGGGACTCACTGAGTAATACTTGCATAGTTCAGTGGTTCTCAACCACCACCTTTATTTATTTATTTTAGGCCAATGGACTGTCAGAGATAAAACTTTTTATCAACCTTTACATTTTAAACAAGTGGCAAAAGGAATGGGATGCATTAGAAAACAATAAATTACATGAAATCCAACCTGAAATTTCACACAGAATTTTAAGACATTTTAAGAATCGATTTGATCAAGTAGTTTTTACCAGATGTCGTATTGGGCATACGAGAATAACACATGGTTTTTTGCTCCAAGGTGAAAACCCTACTCAGCGTTTGTGCTGCAAAACTCCTCTTACTGTAAAACATATTTTACTGGACTGTCCTGCTTTTACTGATTCCAGAAGCCTTTTTTTTATGAAATGAACTCTTTGAAGGACATTTTTAACAAAGTGAAACCAGAAAAGATTTTAGAATTTTTATCATGTATTAACACAAAAAAATCTTATTTAATTTACATTTTATTTTGTTTGTTGATTTTAAAATTGTATATTTATTGTAAAAGGATTCCTGCCATGAAAATAGCCTTGGTTGCTGACATGGCATTAAATAAAAAAATACATTACATTACATTTAGGCCAATGGATATTGTTTCATTATTGCATACATGTGCAAAGGCTGACCACATAAAAAACACATGTCATGTTCATGTTTATTTACTGACAGTCTTCTTTTCTCTGTTTTATGTGCTGCTGTGACATGAAGCAAATATCTGTAATGATCTGAAGCAACTGTGTAAGTATTATGGCCTAAACAGATAATTTGCTTTACTCTGTGACAGTTATTGTGTTTAAGAAATAATTTTACTTTAAATGATTAATATGTATCACTTAATTTCTCAGTTTTTATGTGCTGCTGTGATGTTAAGCAAAGGATCTGTCACAGTTAATACAGATAGGAATTCGCTGGTTTATATAGAACTTAAAGGGGAAATGTTTGATTAAACATGTAGAATGTCGGTATAATCGAAATGCAAATGTATACTTTGTATCTATTTTTACTTATTTATACTTTGTATTGCCTACATACATCTGTTTGCCCCTGTATTGACCACTGCTTACCTGACCTTGCTATTAAACCTCCATGTGGATCCGCACCTCTGTTGTCAGTGTCACAATCCCTAGTTACAGTTACCAGTGTTCATGGTATTTAACCCTTAGATTTGCAACCTTACTGGTTTGGATTTAGCAGTGTTTATGCTATAACAGGTTTAAAGATCACAAACCAAACTTCACTGTAAGCAAAGAGACACTTGCTTACACAAGGTTACTTGCCCCACATTAAAAGTCGGGATTTTCCTAATCCATTACATGTGAGCCACTTTAGTTGAGTATGAATTAGGTGAATAAAAGCATAAAGATTACTAAATAATGAATGAACTTAAGTCTCTTTCCTTTATACCTATTGCAAATACAATAATGCATATTGAAGTGACTATCACAGTGACTTAGTATTTCTGATTTGTTCATTCACTAATAATCTTAATTTCTCTGCTTCTGTTACAGCGCAAGAAGTGTGTAAGTATAAGTATTTTTTTAACATGAGTTATATTAGGTGCAATAATTAATGATTTGTGTATTTGTCCTGTGGGCTGTGTGATATTAATGTATTGTGACTAAAACTCTGCTGTCTTTGTGTCAGTTCTTTTAAATCAAATAGAAAAATAAAATTAAGTTTAAGCTAAATAAAATGGAAAATGTAAACATTGTCCTTTGAAGATTGCAGATTTATTAGAAGATGCTGTTATTTACATTTCTGTCTGTAATGGCGTGTATTATTGCACTCTTGTAAATAATAAAGTATTGTTGTAAACAATGCATTTTGTGACCCCACAAAATTTGTGGTAGAGCGGGGGTGTCCAACTCTATTCATGGAGATCTACCTTCCTCAACTGTAACCTTAATTAAACATGCCTGTCTTTAATTAGCAAGTGCTCCTTCTTCTCCTGCTTAGTTGATTTAGTTGTGTATTATCTCCAACTGTTGGAGCTAAACTCTGCAGGAAGGTACAGTAGATTTCCAGGAACAGGGTTGAGGACCCCTGCGATAGAACATACTGTAATATTAATAGATAGACTTTTTAGTTTGTCCAAAAGACATATATCATCATATTGCACAGCCCTAATCTTTCATGTTTTTTTTTTTTTTCAACTTTAAGTCCTCAATGCTTTGACTAAAATCCTGAGTTTTGAAAAAAGCATACAGTTCTCAAACTCACTTATAATTACTTATAACGTTCTCTTTGCATGTGCTGCTATGATGAAGTGGATGCCCGTGAAAGCAATTCCTGTAAGTATTACAACTGATACTTGAAAAGGGTTTTATTGTGCAACTGTAGTTTAAAAATATATTATGAATATGAGGTTTTGTATTGTATTTAACTAAAAATTTGTAACTACCTCTGAAGCTTTTCACAGTACGTTTTTTTTTTTTTTTTTTCCTGATTTTAAAGGCCCAAAATTATTGAATTTCTGGTGACTTTTTGGGGTAAAAAAAAAAAAGAGTTTTAAACTTTATTTTGTTAAAATGATTTCATGTTTCTCTTTTTTAAATGTTATATGTTTTATTGGTAAATGTATTGACTTGATGCATCTTTTTTGGCCTGATTCAGCAAGTAGAATCGGCCATCAGCTGAAGAGTTATTCAGGTTATTCAGCAACAGATCATTTTTTTTGTGCATGATCAAAAACTGAAGTGACGTAACCAATTCAAGTCAAGAAGGAGCAAAAAGAGGCCGGCTCTGATTTTGCTACATTTCTCGAATATTTCCAAATGATATGGATTATTAGATTATCAGACATATTTGCAGGAGCAAATCCCTCTGTGGTAAGTGACAGTTACTGTGCTAATGGTACTGAACGCTGCTCTGTTTATACTTTGCGTGTGCACATTTCATCTTGGTTTCCTTTTGTGGAATGAGAAAGCAAACTACTGCCCCCTGTCAGGTGTGGAAAGACATGTCCTCTCATGTAGTGAGTTTTCATCTGCACTAGTTGTTTGGTGTTGGCGTGATGTGTCCCAGCCCCTAAATCTGATTTGACATTTTCAACAGGGCATAATAAGTGATCTGACAGGTATTTTAAGCTGAAACTTCACAGACACATTTTCTAGACACCAAAGACTTATTTTAAGTTCTGAAAAATTGAGCTAAGTAGGACTCCCTTTTTTTAAGAACAATGCCTATTGAGAATTTTATTGGCAGATGCATCATAAATAATATTTAGTTTTCCATGAACAGAAAAAAGCAGATAAACTTTATATCAGTTAAAAAGCATTTAGGAAGCAGCCAGCCCCCTCATGCACACACTTGTTGTGTTTATCATGTTATCCTCTTAGTGTGTGTGTGTGTCTGTGTTTATCATTTTATCCTCTTTGTGTGTGTGTGTCTGTGAAATCGCTGCCTGTCAAAACATGCCCACAAAGATGCTGGAATCGTTTATGAACCCAAATAAGGCCTAAATGTATGTTTTGGGTATTTTTGTAATTGGAAACATTTCAGAGACTGTAAGGCTCAATATGTTTTCATATGTTTTGTATTTTATATAATCACAGATGTTACAGTAGACTATTTTACATCATCATTATTCTGCAACTATATCATTAATCAAATCATGTTCCTAGAAAGGTTAGTTATCAACATTTACACACAAGTAGGCCCATTTATGTGTAAAAAGCATCTGTATATGATAAGTGAACGACCCGTATAGCTTTACTTTGACATTTCTTCGAGTGAGGATGACATTGACTGAAACTTTATCATACACCATGCCCAACAAAAGGGTACTATTGATACCATTTAGCAGTGGAGACACAAGCCTGATAAAAGTGACCCAGGCACGTGCACACATAGGGCTCAACCTGTGCAGTGCACATGCCCTTTTTAGTCTTGGATAGAAAGTGCCCTTCCAAAATGATCTAAAGTGCCCCCGCTACGCGACACACCCTCGGTCCCGCTATTCAGTACGCGCGCGCGAAAACAACAACCCCCTCAAGGGCCTGAAGTGACCCGTACTGAACTGAACTGTACCATTCAGTGGAAACGAGGATGTAGAAACCCCACTGTCAGAGGGGTTATTGCCAGAGCAGCACAAAGACAACGCAGAAGTATAAATGCTCAATGCTATGTTCGAGATATGCCCTTTTGGAGTTTGATAATTACTCGACACCGCAGTATAAATCAGGCTTTTGTGTCGGCTCCTATTTGACTGTGTAAAATCCTCCATTGTTTACAGCATACAGTAGGTCTAATCCAGAGTTTAGGAAAATCCATGTAGGGCACAACATAATAGTGTCACAATCATCAGCGATCTTTACACCTTAGATCGCTGGAAAACATGCACTAATCTCTAATGAAGTACAAAACAGTAATTTAATAGACCACAACTTCATACATGCACTCTGCTCACACACACACACACACACACGTTCCGCATCCTGACTGATAGCACTAACACTACCAGAGCATCGTCAAGCACTGATTACACACACTATTTAAGCAGCACATACACTCACTCCAGTTGCCGAGTCTTGTTTACATCTAGTGTCATTACAACATGTTTACCTTGTGTTGTTTTTCCCGTGTTTTACCCTTGCCTTGTTAATCTTTTTATCCCTGCCTGCTGCCTACCATCTGACCTCTTGCCTGTTACTTTTACTACGTTTATGGATTGCCTACATACATCTGTTTGCCCCTGTATTGACCACTGCTTACCTGACTTTGCTATTAAACCTGCATGTGAATCCGCACCTCTGTTGTCAGTGTCACATTCCCTAGTTACAGATACCAGTATTCATGGTATTATACAGGTAGATTTACAACGGGTTTAAAGATCAGAAACCAAACTTCACTGTAAGCAAAGAGACACTTGCTTACACAAGGTTACTTGCCCCACATTAAAAGTCCTGATTCTCCTAATCCATTACATGTGAGCCACTTTAGTTGAGTATGAATTAGGTGAATAAAAGCATTAAGATTACTACATAATGTATGAACTTAAGTCTCTTTCCTTTATACCTATTGCAACTACAATTATGCATATTGAAGTGACTATCACAGTGACTTAGTATTTCTGATTTGTTCATTCACTAATAATATTAATTTCTCTTCTTCTGTTACAGCTCAAGAAGAACTGTGTAAGTATTACAGTAATTTAACAAGAAAATAGATTTAACATGTTAATAGTGCTTAAATGTTTTTAATAGTCAGTGTTTATGGATTTTTTTTTCAACATGAGTTTGATTTGGTGCAATAATTAATGATTTGTGTATTTGTCCTGTATAGAACGATGTGATATTAATGTATTGTGACTAAAACTCAGCAGTATTTGTGTCAGTTCTTTTAAATCAAGTAAAACAGTGGTAATATAATATAACATTAATCTAAAGTCATTCTTAATGTGAAGCATTTGTTAACATTTGATCATACATAACATTGAAATAGTTAAAGATCATTAGTAAAGCCATACAGATGATAAAGAGATTGTCGAAGATGCTCATGAAGAATCAGTTTCTTAGTGTTTGTGATCTTCATCTGGTTGTTCACTGGTAATCTTCTCTATTCTGTTTCTATGCTGCTGTGACATGAAGTGAAGATCGCTAAAAAACTAGAGGATGTGTGTAAGTATTACTGCTGATACAAAAATGCAAAATGTGTGAGACTAGAGTTTAAACTAGGTTTATTTTAAAAAAATCTATGCTTACATTTTTAACCACAAGTTTTGCTTGATTAAATTAGTTCGGTAATACAAGAAGTCTGTATTTGTATGTGTTGAGCTCAATTTTAATATACTGATGGCTGATCCTATTTCTGTTTTAAACTGAGAATTTAAAACAATCATATTCAAGTTGTTTTATTCTTCACATTTCTTCTCGTTTCTGTTTGCTGCCTTGACATGAAGCCGCTGCCTGTGATAAAGATATGCGTAAGTATTACATAGGAAATATACTGTATACATGTTTATTTAAAATGTTGCTGCATTAAAGTTTAAATGTATGACTTAATTTTTCTGCAGTTAATAATTAGTCATTCGCTGACATTAATACATAAATAATAATCAATTAAAAACATTTTCATGTATGTAATGTATTATTCATTGTTGACCACACTAAGGTGGCTTTAACTATTGTTCTAACACAATTTATTACAATTAACACAATTACAATTGTTGCTGATAATTGTTACTTAATAAAGTCTTGCATATCATAAAGTGCTTTTTTGAAGCTCACAATCAAGCAGTTTCTTTCAGTGTTTCTGATGTAATTTTTTTTTTCGCTCACTCACCAATCTCCTTTTCTCTGTCTTTATTTGCTGTTGTGACATGAAGTGACGGTCTCTAAACATTTAACCCAACTGCGTAAGTATTAACAATTCTATAGAAGAAATCAAAACCCAAGGATAACCTAATTGACCACAAAATAAAATTTTAAAGCAAAAATTTAAAGAGGTGCTATATTACGCATTTTTAAAGAGTTTATTGTCATTTTTGATTTTATTAAATTTTTTTGTAGTTGTACTAGAACATTCTGTCCTGCTTGGTTTACGTCATTTACATTATTGCAATACTTTCTTCCAGAGGTGGAATTTCAGTTATTTAAGTCTAACAAATGGTAAACTTTTGATCATTAAAATTGATCATTTACCCTGTGTCTCTCATGTCTCTGTGGTTTTAAGGCGCCCTTTGAAAAGAGTACATTCTCACATGCTGCATAATATCACTTCACCTGGTGCAGCCATGGGACAGCTTCTTGACTATTACACCAGAATGAGAGTAAAGTTCCTTGCAATATTTGCCTTGAAAATAGTATTTTTCCGTCGGTTTATTTACACAATGTATCTACAGAAGACTTGATCTTTAAATAGGAAAGTTATAAACTTTTTTTTTTTTTACGAAATGCTAATGGTCAAATCTGATTCAATTAATTATGCTAAGTTAAAAGTGACCCAGCCAGAATTAGAAATTGGCTGAATGCATTTAAAATGGTTTAAGTGTTTAACTCTAGGAGACTTGTAAAATGAAAAAAAAAAAAAAAATGAAAAAAGGTGGAGTGCTCCTTTAAGACTTACTTGTCACCTGTGATCAAAGTTTCAGGTGTGATGAAGGCCTGAATTCCAAAAAAAAAAAAAAAACTTTCTGACGTACAGTACACTAAACTTTACACATCTTTTTCTTTTTTCTATGTGCGGCTGTGACAGATGAAGAAATCTCGAAAAAATTGAGTAAGTATTACAACTAATACAGCAAGAGTTGACAAACTGGCTTTATTCTGCAACAATAAAGGAATGTGTTAAATTAAAATATCATGTTTCTGTAGTCTGCAATTACAACCCCAAATCAGAAAAAGCTGGGACAGTATGGAAATTGCAAATAAAAAAGAAAGCAGGGATTTTTTATTTTATTTACTTTGACTTGTGTTTCATTGCAGGCAATACAGCAAACATTATTGAATGTGTCCCTTATGATTTTTATATTTTTGTTGTTGTTTCAAAATAAACATATCAACAACAACATCTTTTGCAACACAAAAGTAAATTGATTACATAGTTTGAATCAGGTGATGTTGACAGGTGATTGTAATTATGATCTGGTGCAAAAACAGCATCCATGAAAGCTCTAGTCTTTTTATAGGAAGACATTGGGGTATTTCACCTTCAACAGTGCATAACATAATTAAAGATGCAAGGAATCTGTAGGAATTTCAGTGTGTAAAGAACAAGAGCGCAAACCTAAGCTGAATAACCGTGATCTCCGATCCCTCAGGCAACACTGCATCAAGAATCCTCATTAATCTATAAGCAATGTCACTATGGGCTCTGGACTACTTTGGCAAACCTACGTATGTCAAGTACCACAATATGTAGTTACATCCACAAATGCCAGTTAAAACTTTACTGGTAGGGGCCACAATACAGTGGAAATGTGAACTGTGGTCATATAAATCCAGTATTTCAGGTATTTTTTGGGAAAAATGGGTGCCATGTGCTCTGGACCAAAAGAGTAAAGGATCATACAGACTGTTTACAGCAAGTCTAAAAGCCAGGGTCTTTCATGGTGTGAGGTTGTGCCAGTGCCCTTGGAAAAGGTAACTTGCATTTCTGCTATGGCACCATTAATGCTGAAAAGTACATAGAGATTTTGGAGCACTATACAATGCTGCCTTTTCCAGGGACACCCTTGCATATCTCAACAAGACAATGCAAAACCACATTCTGGACACATTACAAAGTATTGGCTGTGAAGGAAGAGGATACAGGTACTTGACTAGCCTGCCTGCAGTCCCAACCTGTCTCCAATAGAGAGTGTGGCATATTTAATAGAGAGTGTGCAACAACGAAGATTGTGTACTGTTGTCCAGATTAAGACTTGTTTGCAAATAAGATGGAACAAAATTAAACCTGAAACACTTCCTCACTTGGTGTCTTCAGTCCCTAAACCTCTTTTAAGTGTTGTAAAAAGGAAAGTAACATTACTAAGTGGTAAATGCTGGAACATTTTTTAAAATATGTTGCAAGAACCAAAATTGGAATACATGTTTATTTTGGGAAAAAATATATATATAAAAACATATTTAAATCACGAGGAACACATGAAATAATGTTTTTTGTATTGTCTGCAATAAAATACAAGTCAAAGTACATTTAGAAATCACTATTTTCTTTCTTTTCTTTTTTCCTTTTGTAGTTTACTTTTCTTTATTTTCCATTCCTGAATATGGTTCAGAGTAAGGACTGTTTAACCACCACCCAATATTTTTTTCTCAACATTGTGAAACTGATGTATTATGGTTTTTCTTTCCCTCACCACCGGGCAAGAGTTAAACTAGAAATCACTACTTTCTGTTTTTTTGTGTTTTCCATTTTGTCTCATTTTTTTCGGATTTGGGGTTGTATATGTGAACATGGTTTTGTTAATAAAGCATGTTAAATTAGATTCCACAAATGTATCCTCTCACAAAGCTATTGCATAATATTTGAATATATAATTTTAGTAATAATATTTGAGTAACACTTGTATATATAAAGCTAGCTTGGTCTCATTGTCAAAATAAATTTTGTGCTTAATATTTACTGACAGAAATGCACCTAATGCATTAAACATACAGCAACATATTTTAAAATTTAGCAAAAATGGTCACGTGTATATGTTATTTTACCATTGGAAGTACAAATAAGTATATATATTTTCAAACACATTGGCTGTAATTTTATATACGTGTACATATTTGGCCATAAATCAGACTTTTATATGGTTGGTGGCTAAAGACAGGGCATGGTTCAGAGTGTACAAAGCAAAATTACAACCAACACCCAGGACGGAACGAGAATCATAACAAGTGACAGTCAAGGGGTTGAATAGTGTCATTATTTTATTTATTTATTTATTTTATCATTTAGTTTGAATTAGAGAAATAATTATTGAGGTGTGTGACTGTTCAGTGTTGACTTAAATGATTTTAATATGTGAGAGGGAAATTTAGAACAGTTATATGGTAACATGCACCTTGCAGACCTCCAGAGATCTGTTTTATAAGTAATGCAGTAGAAAGTACAAATGTATCTATGTGATCTAGAGTTACTAATGAAACGAGGTGTATTTCTGCCTTTCAGGCAAATTACACCCCTCCTTCCATATTTAGTTTAACATACAGCTATTAATGAAATAAAGAATAATTTATCATTGTCATGCCAAAGAACAAAAAAGTAACATTTTTAAAGCAGTTCTAATAAAGTTAAATATGTGAAATATTCTGAGATTTAACAGGTCATGGGATTCACAGGGAGCTTCAACTAATTAAAATTTCTGTCTAATTGTTATACTTTTTTTTTTTTTTTTTTTTTTTAAATATTCACACCATAGGACAGTTTTGAGATTTGGCTCAAAAATAACAGCAGTTCTTATGACAAGAAGTCCATGAAAGACAACTTAATGTTTAACCATGTACTGCATTTTAAATGAAGACTTGTTTCATTATTTATACATCATCTTGTCTATAATCCAGGTGCAGTCTTGTCCCCAAGAACTACTTCCCAAGCTGATCCAGGACAAGGTAATTAGTAGAATCACAGTATTATTTAGCATTCATTTTCATTCATCATTTCATTCTCTGACATGACCTCACTTAGGTGATATTGAAGAGGCTATTTTTCCCCAATGTAAAATACGCGGAATAACTTTGTAGAAAACAGTGAAACACACACACATACAAACTTTAGCTGTTGTTGTTGTTTTTTTTTTTTTTTTTTTTTTTTTTTTTTAATACATAAAATCACAATTATCTACTGTTTATGACACTAAATGTTACGGATTAAGGTTTTTTATGTGGAACGTTCTAAACCTTGTATACAATATGCACATAGCTAGCTAGTAAGCAGGGCATACAGTTGTTAAGCTGAATCTAGTTTTCCTAAAAGGATCATGATCAATAAACTATGAGGAACTCTACAAACTGAAGTTAAATCAACAATCTGTTATTTGTTAATTAGTCTCTTACAGACATCACTAGCCTCAAAACTTAGACTCTAAAAATATATACTCTAACATAAATTACATAATAATCCAATTACATAATATCTATTAGATGTATGAAGCAAGCTTTGTCTCATTGTTTTAGGTAGGACTTTCTGTGTAATATTTACTAGTACATAAATGTACTTTTTATGCATTTGGGTAGATCCTAAAAAGTAAAATGTGTATATATCAGGGATCACCAAACTTGTTCCTGGAGGGCCGGTGTCCTGCAGATTTTAGCCACAACCCTAATCAGACACACCTGAACAAGCTAATCAAGGTCTTACTAGGTATACTTGAAACACCCAGGCAGGTGTGTTGAGGCAAGTTAAAGCTAAACCCTGCAGGGCACGAGACCTCCAGGAACGAGATTGGTGACCCCTGATATATACCATATGCACAATATGTATATTTCCATAGAACATACAGAAACTTCTTTAACACTAGTTTCCCAATCCTGGTCTATGAACCACACAGGCATGGGCCAGTATAAGATTCTGACAGTATGATAGCCTTGGATAAAAGTATCATTGTTTCACGATTTTGTGGTTAATGCTCTAAAATAAGTTCTTTTTAAATGTTTGTTTAAACAACAAAAACTTCCCCTGTTAATACAATATGTTTTATTTTGAGAAACATTTGAATTATTTTGGAACAGTAAACATGTCAGGCTAAACAATTCAAATGAATCATTGACTTCTGCTTTATTTATTCGTTTCAAAAACAGATTTCTTCACATGGTAAATTTGCATCTTTGGATGTCTTTTCTGCGGGAGATACTGTTGTCCAAAAAAAGTTAAAAAAAAAAAAAACTTGCATATATTGTAGCAGCAGTATTACAGAAAATGTTTGCAGTTTTAAAAACCTAGATTTTTTTTTTCCCAAACCACAGTATACCTTAAAAAAATGGTTATTGTCCTTTGCCTAGGCCCCAAATCAAAACATTGACATCGCGTGTAACATTATAATGCACAATAACTAAACACAGAATAAGAAACAATGAGGTTGCGCACTGAAATATAATTAGCATGACTCAAAAATAAAAGGCATTTAGGCTAAATCCGTTTTTCCGCTCATATTTGAATGTTTTGTGTGCTTATAGTCTTTCCTCCTGTGCTCTTGTTCCCACATTCTGGGCTTGAGTTTCTAATGCTAGTTTCATTTAAATGACGGGTGGGCTTCAGTGCCATCATTGTAGTGATTGACAGTTGCTCCTCCAGTTGATCAGTGTGTCAGGCGGGGGATGCATTTTGTTTCAGGAATTTCAGATAATATAGACACCTGTCAATGATTCCAGGGAATTCATATCAATAAAAAACATTTAGGGCTTTATTTTAATAGTCCTTGCGCAAAGCACAAAACACAGGCCGCAAATGCTTTCAGGGCATGTCAGAATCCACTTTTGCTATTTTAAGGACAGAAAAATCTACTTTGCGCCGTGGCACATGATCTAAAAGGGTTGAGTTTATTTTCTTAATGAGTTATAGGTGTGTTTTGAGAATAAAACAGTTAGAGTCTCATTTCCCATTCCCTTAAAGAGCCAGCTGCACCGCGCCAAGAGCGCATTCGCTATTTACAGGACGCAAAGTAAGTCTAAGTGAAAAAACTGAGCATTTCACTAGCAAACAGTTAACAGTTTTTTTAAACAGAAAACTGTTAAACAGAGCATCTACTGCGTAAGAATGAGAGATAATGGATCACTTTCGCTCTTGGATAGGGAAACCTTTACGCACAGACATCAATTAGTCTATAAATAAATGATTGCATTTGTTAAGCGCAAATATTCTTTTTAAAACTATTTCTAAATTCAGTTCTAATTTCCAGCAAATGAATAAATGAACAATAATAACAAAATGTGCTTAAAAACCTGAGTTATATCCTAAAACACATGCTGTGCCCCAAATGGTCTAAAACCTGACAGGTGGGCAAATCTAAGCTTGTTTTTAATAAAACAAATATAAATATGCATATAATAAATAATACTGCTAATAATAATAATAACATTATACAAAAGCAAATTGTTATGAATGAACTGAAAAAGCCTCCCGAGATGAAGAAGACATAAAAGCAGTGATTTTTCATATTTATGTAGGCTAAAAAATAATGTTTTGTAATATTTTAATCCTTTATATTTCTATTCTATATCTATTCTTATTATATCCTATATATATCCTAAATATAATTTTTTTTTCATATGTAAGGATATTTGCCTATTGCTCTCTTGTGTGTAGTAAGCAGTGCGTAAGCGAGGCGCAACTCTGCGCCGGAGTTTAGACCGGGTTAGTTTTGGTCTAATGAAAAATCTATTATAGTTTCTCAAAATAGAAACGCGCCAGCGGTCCGCCTCAGAACGCCTTCCTTTTTAGACCAGAACGCCTATGGGCGCACATATGAGCGCAAATGCATTTGCTATTTAAACAGCGTAGTGCAACGCCTCAAAACGACTCTTGCGCCAAGCTGAAACTACCAAAAGACTACTGCGCCGCGCCTTGCGCCACATTGCGCCGGATGTATGATAGGGCCCAAAGTGTTGGGTCTATAATTATAATGGAAGGTTTATTTTCACTGTGAAAGACAGAAAAGTAAAATACATTTTAAAACATGTTTGAACTGATGTCATTTTTAATTAGAGAAAAAAGTATTTGATCCCCTGTCAGTCAGCAGGATTTCTGGCTACCAGGTGTTTTTAGATTAGAAGCAGCCTCCTAAAGGGAGTTTTCTATGTTTAAAAGACAAGTGCAAAAAAAATGTCAGATTTCAAACTCCCCACCATGGCCAAGATCAAAGAGGTCCAAGTCTCCAGACCTTAATCCCATAGAATATCTGTGGAGGGAGTTGAAAGTTTGAATTGCCAAATAATGAGGCATAATTGAGTGAAAATACCTAATACTTAAATACTGAGTGAATACTTATTTCACATGTTAAAATGCATATCAATTCATACATTTTTTTGAATACCATTTATAAGGATTTTTGTTGCTGAGAGTTGTCTCTCACAGCTAAAATAAACCTACCATTACATTTATAGACAGTAGGCAAACATGCAAAATCAGGAGAGGATCATGTACTTTTTCCCTATTGTATATTTATTTATTTATTTATGTTTGTCTTTGTGTTCGTTGGGTTTCCTCCGGGTGCTCCAGTTTGCCCTACAGTCCGAAGACATGCACTATAGGTGATTTGAATGAACTAAATTGCCTGTAGTGTATGTGTGTGAATGCAATAGTGTATGGATGTTTCCCAGTGTTAGGTTGCAGCTGGAAGGAAATCCACTGCGTAAAACATATGCTGGATGAGTTGGTAGTTCATTCCGGTGTGGATGAACAGATTCAGAAGAATGAACCGCCAAGGTTCATTCTTCTGTGGGGACCCCAGATCAATAAAGGGCCAAAGCTAAAAATAAAATGAATGAATGAATAATTAAACTCTTAATGATACAGTTTAGAAGACATTGAAGGCTAGTCAATAAACGCAAAATGCTTTTAGTAAAATGATGTACATTAATATGATACATATTAATATTTGTTGTTCTGTTTTAATTAGTTCACCTCTTCTGTCTTGTAGATAAAATAAAATTGTAACTGATTCAGTTCTATAATTAAAACGTCTTTCTAAACTTATGAGCCAAATGCAGTCTACCTAAAAAGTATTTCCAGTTTTGTTTATCATTAATTTACATTGTGATAATTACACGCATCATTGTAAACTGTTACAGATTATTAATAAAGTCATCCACAATGTGAAGATTATTAATATGCAAAACTCACAATTTGTCTTCAATTAAGCTTTACTGTCTAATTATAATCTAATTTCTCTTTTTTTGTGCTTCTGTGACAGCTGAAGGGAACACTTATCATACAGTAGGGTTGGGCATCTTGGCTATAATGCCGATCCGAACGCATCTCGATACAAAAAATACGATCCGATATATTAGCGATACATTTGTGACATTGCGATGCAACACGATACGATTTACACCCATATCACGATACAATGCGATAATTCAGCACTAACTAATTAGATCAAGTTTATGAGATGATGTAAGAAAGGATGCTGTGCCATTGAATGAGTTTGATTATTTATTAACCAAGTAAAACCAAGATTTTTTTTTACAAACTGACTTTTCTCTCAGAGCCAGAGTGTCAGTTTACAGTAGAGGGCCATTTTAGAACATATAGCACATATTATTTAAGGATTTTCAAGATAAACAGAATGTATAAGTGCAATATATATTATAAATGTATATATTTGCACTCTTTCAACATAAAGGTTTAGCATTGCACAAGAAGAATTGTGATTTAACTTTTCAACTATGAAAAAAAGTTTTACAAAGATATATTTTGCCACTGAATATTCAAAACTTAAGGTGGTGAACTAGCAGTGTTATGTTGCTTTGAAACATCACTGTCACTGTAAACAACAGGCTAATAAAAATATAAATAAATAAAAATTTACAGGAGGTGTTTAAAACCTTCGTTCTCCGTGACGCTAGGCTGAATATCTTTGCAGATGAACAATGCAATAGCATTCGTTATTGGCGTAGAGCGAGCAGAACTGTTGCGCATGGAGAAAACTTTCAGTGCTTTTCTCACCACTTTTGGAGCTGGTAGCTACAGTTGAAGCAGAGCAGGAAGCAGGGGATGCAGGAACACTAGAAGATGCTTCCACAACAACACCGAGGCGCCGCTTCAAGTGAGATATCAGATTACTCGTACTGCCCGTGTATTTTACAGATGCGCGGCACATTTTGCAAATTGCATCTGTCCTGTCAAGTCGTCCATCCTTTTTGCAGAATCCATAATGTTGCCATACTTTAGATTTAAAACTCAGTGAGGAATAAAATGTTTGTTTTGCTTCTCGCGCTTTCTGAGGGCGCTCCACTAGCTTCATCCGCACACCTGATACACTGAGTTGTAGTGTAAGTGTACACATCCGCAAGCCTGTTGCTAATGCATACTTTATGTAGGTCGATTAAATTATGCGCCAAAAACAGGTTGACAACACTTGCTAATAAATAAAAAATACATTCTGTATTAAAAATATAAGTTGTATCTTGGAAAAACCGATGCATCTCGCAAAAACCGATGCATCTCGATTTGTTTCCAAAATTTCATTCATCCTCTGCTGCTCTACCGATGCACTCGCATCGTGCACGCGCATGACCGCGTATCGATACATATCGGTTAATCTTCCCATTCCTATCATACAGCATTGTGAGAGGATGTCACTATAAAGAATACAACTGATCTGCTTGAAGGTAATAGGTATGAGTGGTGGTTTGGCAACAATAATTTATTAGCTGTCACCAGGAGCGCAAAGCCATTTGATGGAATATTCAGAGACAGACTGGAGCTGGACAAGAAGACTGAATCTCTGACCATCAAGAACATGACTATTAAACACACTGGAGAATATAGATTTATGATTATCAACTAAAGTGAAACAAAACCAAAGACAACTAAAACATTCACTGAGTATCTCCAGCCTTTTAGTGCAGTGAATGAAACAGCTCTTTCTCAAATGCTTTTTCATCTCAAACTCTTGACTGTAAAGACTAGCTTTGTCACTATAGTAGTTGGTGTTGTATATAATCAAGATCTAGCAGTTTCTACACATGATGAAACATGTTAAATGCCTGACATTTAGTGCCAGTTCTCCCATTGTTGGCTCCAGGTGTATTTATTATCTGTTTTAGTGATTACTGTCTCTTTGGGTGCAATGATAAACTTTGCTTTTTTGTTAGTCATAATTCAGCTGAAACTGTTCAGACTCCAGTTATACTGTAAATCATTTCAGTTATCAGTAAATGTGAGATTAAAGATCTTCTGAAGCACATCAATCATTTATATTCCAGTCATAATAAAGTGGTGCAGACACTTTGCTTGTCTGTATTGTTTAGTAAACAGAGTCTGAAGAAATGACTACTGACTCGATGCTCAGATCTTCCCTTTTTTATGTCCATCTTTGTTTCAGATCTCGATAGAACACAAGTAAAGAGTTCAGTGCCGGAAGCATCAGGACTGTTACATGAAGAAGCCGTGTATGCGAATGAAAGATCAAATCCAGTTTAATGAGAGAAGACACGCCCACCAATGCCGATTACTGTGACATCATCAACATTTAAAGCTGCAGCTACAACAATAATCATCTTTCTGTTATTCAGAGCTTCTAGAATGCTTCCAGTGAAAGAAAAAAAAAAACCTGTGTTTGTTCAGCCTTTAAATTTGTGTGTAAAAAGATTTTAAATGAAGATGGAAACTTTTACATCAGTTTATGAATGTTACTCATCATATCTGTTACTCTGTTGGCAGTTTGACTCTCATAGCTTTAATTTTGTATGAATGTAGACAGCGAGCAGCTTCTATCATACATTTTATCACAGCAGCGTTTCTCTAATCGTTTTGTGTGAGGTACTATTGTTTTTTATAATTAACACCAATATCAGGATAATGGACCTGTTTTGCGGTCTCAGGTATGAAACTCACATTTCAGAAACATCTTTGACTATCAGGGTCACACTTGAATTCAGTCTATCTGGCACTTTTATTATACAAGTCAATCAGCTAAACATTTATTTACAGCAATTTGCTTGTATTTTAAGTTTGTGCTTTTAGTATACTTTCATTATTTACTATTATTGGGTCTATTATTTTACTCTCATTTTATTATACTTTTAATATGTTGTATGTGAATCTGCTTCTTCATCTAAATCTGATCTGCATGTCAAATTTAGTATATAAAGGGCTTTGTATTTATGCTGAAGCACTTAAATTAACCTTTAACAAAAAAGCTGTTGTTTAACTCGAGCACTTACTGAAGTGAAGTCACACTGTTGTGAATTTGCTTTATTGATGAATCTGTTGGTCATTTTGACGACTGCATGTTCATAATGAATACATGTCAAATACTTACTAACTGAAAGTTTCTGTCCTCAAGTTTAGTGGACAAATATTACTAACAATGCTTGAAAGTGTATTTGATTGTTATGCTTCCTTAAAAATAATAAAGGAGAATTGTGTGAAATTTGTGTTGAATCGACTTAATTTTTCTTCAAAACATGTTTTAGAGTAGATTCAATCTGAGCAGAAACGACTGAAGAAAAAAAAAACGCATAAAAATACAAAAATATTCTCAAATTCTGTTGAATTTAATCCAAACTAATCTGACGATGAAATAAGACTATTACTTTAGAAGTAGTTAAATCATTCACTGAATTTTGTTATGAAATTTAAGTGAATTATAACATTTTAATGGTCAGTTGATGCATTTTTAGTTTAAAAAAATGTTAAATCTAGAGCTGCAATTATTTCCTGCCAAGAAAAGATTTTGATGAACTTCAACTTTATGAACACCAGATGGCAGCAGAAGTGTAGAAAACGCATTCATTTTTTTTTTTTTTTTTTAAATAAAGGTCTAGTGCTTCTGTATAATTTATGGATAAAACACTTATTGTGCTTTAAAATGGTTTTTAATCATTTAGTTTGGTGAATTTAATGTGATTATTTCAGGGAACAAAAAAAATACTAATGTAAACTCTCCTTTGTGTATCTGCAAAACAAGAAAACGACTAAATTCAGACTGACCAAATAGGTTTAAAATTAATAAAAAGAATAATAAATAAATAAAGTGGCATATTTTGTATTTACTCAACAATAAATGTTACCTTCAGGTGGAAAGATATCACAAGAAACTGAACCAATGAATATGAGTTTCTCGCAAGCACTGAATGGGAAAGAAACAACACTTTCACACACTTGCACATTCAGTGTATGTATAATTGTTATTCATTCATTCATTTTCTTGTCGGCTTAGTCCCTTTATTAATCTGGGGTCGCCACAGTGGAATGAACCGCCAACTTATCCAGCAAGTTTTTACGCAGCAGATGCGCTTCCAGCGGCAACCCATCTCTGGGAACCATCCACACACACATTAACACACTACGGACAATTTAGCCTACCCAATTCACCTGTACCACATGTCTTTGGACTGTGGGGGAAACCGGAGCACCCGGAGGAAACCCACGCGAAGGCAGGGAGAACATGCAAATTCCACACAGATACGCCAACTGAGCCGAGGTTCGAACCAGCGACCTCCTTGCTGTGAGGCGACAGCACTACCTACTGTGCCACTGCCTCGCCTAAAATTGTTTTTTATTTTATTTTTTTTGTATTTACGTTGTTGACAAACGCTATTGCTTCTCTGAAATGTTTACTCATTGACATGATAAGAAGATGATCAGTGATATTTGCTTCACATGGGATTGGTCATAATGTTTTGTCTCATCAGTGGATGTTAAAAGCTGTGAAAACGATGTGATTCCACATTCAGCCACTAGAGGGAGATAAAACAGTTTCATCTGCATTTCAAGAGACATATCGCAGGAGCTTTTAGTGATGATGAGCAGTTACGAAAACACTATCATTTCTCTAAAATATGAAATGGTTACATACTTCAAGATATTTCCACATCCGTTTTTAATAAGCCTTTTGCAGCCTAAAATAACATGTTTTCCTCGTGTTCATTTACTAGTTGTCACCTCAGCAGGTCTTTAGTAGACAAATGATTGACTAAATTATGAATAAATAAATGGCTTAATAAATAACTAAATAGACAAATTAATCAAAAAATGTAATGACAAAAATTTAAAACAAACATGAAAATTAATAATTTGTTAAAATTATTCCTTATTTTTTTCACATTTATTAATAAAAAAAACATCTCCACTTTTATACATATATATATATATATATATATATATATATATATATATATATATATATATATATATATATATATATATATATATATATATATATATATATATATATATATATTTACTTATCTGTGTATTTGGACATTTATTTATTTTCACATAAGTGTGTTATGAAGTCGGAGGCATGAGTCGAGTCCACAGTGAATCCTTATGGTGTAGAACACAGTGCTCAATCTTGAGTTCAGCTTTAGCCCTGATCAAATTTGTGTAACATGGTTGGTCTGGATAAATGTGGAATATTAGAACATACATATGTTTAATTAAAAAAAATTTAAAGAAAATATAAATAAATAAAAGTGGAAATAAATTCATGTTGAAATACATTTTTAAAAAGTTAAATGTGGGGAAGAAAAATAATTTCCGCTAATTTAAAAATTAATTAGTTCATTTTCTTTTCAGTTTAGTTTATTTATTAATCCGGGGTCGCCACAGCGGAATGAACCACATGTTCTGTGCAGTGGATGCCCTTACAGTTGCAAGTATAGTGACGGGGACTCTATACTGCTCAGTGAGTCTTTCGGATGAGACGTTAAACCAAGGTTCCGACTCTCTGTGGTCGTTAAAAATCCCAGGATGTCCTTTGAAAAAGAGTAGGGGTTTAACCCCGGCATCCTGGCCAAATCTGCCCACTGGCCTCTGTCCATCATGGCCTCCTAATCCTCCCCATATCATAATTGGCTTCATCACTCTGTCTCCTCTCCACCAATCAGCTGGTGTGTACTGTGCGGTCTGGCGCAAAAATGCATTCTGACACGCCCTGAAAGCGTTTGTGCCCTGCGTTTTGCGCTCTGCGCATGGACCGTCAAAATAGAGCCCTTAAAGTTAAAACGAGAGATGGGGTTATGATTGCGCGTACAACAGCGAGAACCAGGGGGTGGGGGAGATTATTGCGGATGAAAGTGAGGAGATGTCGTCGATGCCCTCTCTCTATTCTGCCACCCTAGGCGGCCGCCTGGGTCGCTTCTATAGACTCGCCGGCTGCGGGAAATAAAGGGTTAAATTTCATTTTCAGAACAACACCACAGTATAGCCAACCTAGTGCTGTGTTTGTACTTTTCATTTTTCTGATTTTTGATATAATAACCTACACTGCAGCGCGGGATTCGCCAGCAATTTGCTATTGAAGGAGCAGCAGAGACTATGGGACTTTGTCAGACCTTGACAGGGACTTTGTCAGTAACTTTTACAGTTCAAATGGACCAGTTTCTTCTTCCTCCAGATCATAACATGTACAGATTTTACTACTTCAATGTGTTCCTTTTGCCGCCATTCATACCGCAGCGGCAGCAGTAATTGGTGCGCCAGCAGCTTTTGACCGCTGGGTGGCACTTTAACCACAGATATTCAGCTTTGCCTTTTCACAATACTAAACAGACGGTTCTGTATGCGTACCTTATATGATGTGATGTGTTCAATCAAAATATAATTTTGATTTAGTTTTCTTAGTAATAAACATCTTACCCTATACTGTATGTTTTAGAAAATACATGGTGAGAAGTATAGCCATAGGCTTCAAAAAGCAAATAGTAGAATTACGTCTTTTGTGCCCTATTAAATTGCGTTGTTGTTTTGATTTTTTTTATCATCATGGCAATGTTATTACCTCAAATCTTTAACATGCGCATATGAAAAACAGCAAAATAATATTAAGATGATCGTGCCAGTGGAGCACATCACCTGATTGCCCAGCAAGCTATAGCCGTCATTTCAAAGGCTAGGTGAAGCATAGACCAGATCTAGCCCGGCTACATGTACCCCATTTTAGCCCGAATAACCTTAAATTTGGTTGTATGTTTTTTTTTTTTGCTAATAAAGCTTATGATATGTATGATACTCCATCATGTAAGCAAATTCAATAAGGTTTATGAGGTTCCTGGAAGTAATAAATGTAGTTTCAGTTCCTCTGTGAAGTATAGACGCAATCTAGTCCGGCTATGTGTAACCCATCTCTAGCCCCAAAAAAAACTTAAATTTGCTTACCTGTCTTTTTTTGGCAAAATACTTTGAGATGTGTATGATATTCCTTTAAGTGAGTAAAGTCAATCGCATTTACAAGGTGTTTGGGCATTTAAAAAATATATGTTATTTTCGTAGTCTAAGCGTAGCCTTGAATTAGCTCGTCATCCGGCTGGCTATTTATAGCCCACTGATAGCCTAAACTGATTCACTTTAGTATTTTGCCGTGCCGCGTGTTCATCACATACATATTATCTACAAGTGTTAAGGTGTAATTTTGTGACATGTTCATTTATAGCCTTAATTTAACTTTGAATTAGATGGATTACATAGTTGGCAGTGAGGTGTTAATGTTCCTCTGTGTCGAGTTTCTTCACTGCTGATTTGCTTTTCCAGAACACTTCCGGGATGTACAAGTAGCCCAAACTCGCTCATTTTGAGGCAGGAACCAGCGGACGTGCAACAACTTGTTGCTACACGTCGTTGCGACGTGTAGTTACATTTTTTGAGAGGTGCACGTCAGCGACGCCGACGGCCACGGCGAAGGGCTATGCGTCTGCGCCGTAGCATACGCCGGCGTTTGACGCAGAAGTATAAATCAGCCTTAAATGCACAGCTACGCGCATTGCATGCGGTGTGGGTTACGCTGGTCACTTGACACAGAAGTATAAATCAGGCTTAAGAAACAGGCGGGACTCTCGGCTATTTTGACAAATACACACCTACATTACACAGAGCCCAACATGGAAGTTTGTGATTGGGTCAGCCCAATGTCAACAAAGAAAAGAACCAATGGGCTGCAGATTATGTCGCACGGCCGCTCTGTCCGGAAAAAAAACATCTCACTTTCAGCTCACAGGGGAGAAAAACATGACAGTCTGCTAAGTGTTTTATGGGCTGATCAAATCATAAGAAGATGATCAGCCCGGCCCAAAAAGTACATCGAAACAGCGGGAAACTGCCCGGCATCTACCCCTGGCAGGAAAAAACAGGAAAAAAATAAAAAATAAACTGTGTTAATTGCGTTAACTTTTTTTAACGCGTTAATTATTTCAAATTAATCGCATGCGTTAACGCGTTAATTTTGACAGCACTAAATATAATATAATATAAAATAATATAATATAATATTAAACAAAATAGTATAGGTGACGCAGTGGCGCAGTGGGTAGCACGTTTGCCTCACAGCAAGAAGGTCGCTGGGTCGCTGGTTCGAGCCTCGGCTCAGTTGGTGTTTCTGTGTGGAGTTTGCATGTTCTCCCTGCGTTCGCGTGGGTTTCCTCTGGGTGCTCC